TATTCTAAATCAATGCAGTCCTTGGTAAATTGCTTGTTGAAGGAATAATCCCAAGCCAGTTTACCTGAAAGTTAGCCCCCTTACATCTTTAGTACTTTTCATTGTTGGATTCGATTCACCAGTATGCTTTTTATTTGCCAGATTATGGTTCTGAACATTTTGCAGGCGTTTCAGAGAAAAATATTTTGAAAATACAAGACTGCCTTTTAGAAACTTGGCAAATAACTTCAAAATTGTAAATGTGAAAATCACTTGAAATTGGTTCGTAGATCTGTTACAGAAATGTTGCCTATACTTGTGATGAATAATATAAAATAGAAATAATAGAAGATTCAGGATGCACAACCAAATAATAAAATAAAGCTTTTACATACAATCTATCAGATTAAATATGTTTACCTTTCTATATTCCTCAAATGTTACTGAGGAATGAGACTCACTGAGGTTATTAGGAACTGAACACAAAGCAGTTGTACTGTATCTATGCTTCAGTTCAGATGTAAACATGATAGATTTTAAGATTTGTAAAAGTTTAGTTACAAAAACAGTTTTATTAAATGAACCTATTCTCCAAACAGGTTATTTACAAAGTTTATCTTAAAGAAAATCGAGTTATGAAAAGAAACATTAATGAACAACTAAGAATTAAGACTGTATATGACAGAAGTGTTGAAGAGTAAGTATAATAACAACCTTCCAAAATTATTATTGTTAACTGGAATAGCTTTCAGTTTCCCTATCTGAACAAGTAACTAAAACAAATGGTAACCAGTAGGAAAGGGAAAGGGAATGGGACACAACTAACTTTATAGGAAGTGAAGTAATTTGTAATTTGTGTAGTAATAATGCTTTATGAAGATTAAAAAAATGTCTACTAACTGCTCTCTTTATTCATAGATTGCTCCCTGAAAAAAAACAGCTTATAAAGGTAATTTACTTCTTGCATTCTGTTTTCTTATATGAAATTAATTAATCTAGGCTAAAGGTCTGTGTGATGTATACTTTCAAGGTTGCATTCTAATTTGCCTAACATCTATAATTGTTCTAGAAAATTAGGGCAGATATAATTCACCCATAATGCTAAGTCATAATGTAGTTTCTTTGTTTTTGGTTTAAAACAATGCATGGATTAGATCACTCTAATGAAGCATAGATATAATATTTCCTTAATCATGATTAACATGTCAGCAATAAGATACAGGCTCTTATTTTCTCATTTCCTTTCTTTACACCTCACTTATGCAAATTCCATTTTATTTAAGTCCAGATTTAGCAAAATTCACTATATGTTAGGATTAATTTGTTTCTATCCCAGAACTGAATCTAACTTTAAAAAGAACTTTTAGGATTTCTTCTGAAGTTCCCTTCCCCACAAAAAAGTTTGTTTCTATAGATAATATAAATATAGTAACCTCTTGCTATCTGTAAGTTTATCATATGCAAGTGTCAGTATCTGTAGGGATTTTTCTGTCCATCAGTTTTTCCTGAACTCTCCAAAATTTGACTATTTGCAAAGTCATGAAACATCCTTCTGAGATGATACATAATGGATGCAAAGTTTTTTTATCAGAGTTGTATGGCTGATTTCATTTTAACTCAGATGTTAGATGGAACCTAGCAGGTTAGTTTGAAAGCTTGAAGAAATGGTCTAATTTTACAGCATGAAATTGACCAGAGATCAATGAAATATTCAAATCTTTTCTGTCAGATTAAAGAAGTGAATTCCCATATCATCAGGTTCAGTTACATATTTGCAGAATGCAACTAGTTTGGCTGATGAACAAAAGTAGATAGGCAGCTATTCATTCTTCAAAACTTTTATTTCAACAGCAGAATCTGTGCCTCAACTGTCTACTTGTAGTAGATTCAGCTTAAAAAAAACATCAGTAAAGTAATAATATTTTCAGAAGTGCCAGTATTCTAAAGCATACAGTATGCTTTTCTGGATTATTGATTTTTTTTATAATCTCTTCTTGTTTTCTGATTTTACTATTTTACTTTATTATAGGTGTGACATAATATCTTTGAGGTCTTTTAACAGGTGGAATTGTTTCCCATTCCTAAGATCTTAAGTTTACCAAACTTGCTCAATAGTAGTAACTGTGAGAGGGATCTGGGAGTCCTAGTGGACAATCATTTAAATATGAGCCAGCAGTGTGCTGCAGCTGCCAAAAAGGCCAACAAAGTGCTGGGCTACAGTAACAGAGGGATAGAATCAAGATCACGTGAAGTATTAATATCACTTTACAATGCCTTGGTAAGGCCACACTTGGAATACTGCATCCAGTTTTGGTCACCACAATGTAAAAAAGATGTTGAGACTCTAGAAAGAGTACAGAGAAGAGCAACAAAGATGATTAGGGGACTGGAGACTAAAACATATAAGGAACGGTTGCTGGAATTGGGTATGTCTAGTTTAACGAAGAGAAGGACGAGGGGGGACATGATAGCAGTGTTTCAATATCTCAGGGGCTGCCACAAAGAAGAGGGAGTCAAGCTATTCTCCAAAGCGCCTGAAGGCAGGACAAGAAGCAACGGGTGGAAACTAATCAAGGAGAGAAGCAACCTAGAACTAAGGAGAAACTTCCTGACAGTTAGAACAATTAACCAGTGGAACAACCTGCCTCCAGAAGCGGTGAATGCGCCAACACTGGAAGTTT